GGCACTCCTTGCTCTTTTAAAAGTACACATGCCTGTAACTTCCTGTTCATGCCTAAAGCATTTCTAGTTACACTTATAGTGCTGTTTTCATTTTTTTCTATTTCTGTATCACATTTTAATTATTTGGTTAATTTTACCCAGGTACTCCAATTGAAACATGTATGAAGGCAGCATCAGTATAGAACACAGATTTTGTCTGTCCCATCTTACTTTCCTCTTCCTTGGGTTTCTGACCCACAGAAATTACTGACATTATTTTTCATAATTTATTTTGGTTCTCTCATAGTTGAAAATACTGTGAAAGGCAAGCACAAGGTCCTGAGTTGGATCCCCGGTACAAAAAATAAATAAAATTATAAAAAATAATAAAATAAAAGCAATATAGTACAGTACAATACAATAAAATTTTTAAAATGTGAAATAGCTGTAGTCCTCTTACTCAGCAAAAATTATAATTGTGCGTAATCAGCATGTCTTCAGTCTGCCCTCTTGCTACAGCTAGTTCTTTTCGTGTTTTTCTGGCTCTTGTTAAGAATGGAAATTAGGGGGCCAGGGAGATGGCTCAGTGGAATAAGCGCTTCCCTGGCAAGCGCAAGGGCCTGAGTTCAATCCCTGGTTCCACCAAAAAAAAAGAATGGAAGTTGGCAAACTTCTTCAGTTAATATATTAAAATTCATTGCGTTACGCTCTGGCTTACAGAAATGAAGCAGTGACTTATATGAGGTAGACCTGCTGGTTGGCAGCTCGTATACTCTAGACAAAATATGGAGAAAACACAAAACATGGCAGTGAGAGCAGTGAAAACAAGGCGGGCGCCAGAGGAGTGAAGCGCACCCTTCAGCCCGCACGCACCGGCTTGGTCCTGAGTCCGCAGTCCTTGGTGCGCTGGAGCGGAGCGCGGGGAGGAAGGTGCAGGCTTGCTGATGTCCGGCCTGAGAAGGCAGGCGCCGGCTGTAGGAGTGGGCCGAAACGGGAGAGCACGGACAGAGAGAAGCCCCGGGATCATACAGTTGCTCCGATCTGAGCTGACGCGTGAGCTGGATCAGTACCGGGGACGCTTCCCACGATGCCAGTGAGCCAAGAAGCAGTCAGTATTCTGAAGAGCATGACAGATTTATTCCTAAATACTACTTTTGAGAACTTTATATTGTTTTCGAAGACCTTTTATTAAATTTAGAACTAAATACTACTTTTAAAATTTTCCATGAAATTGTAACCAGTTAGGTAGACTATATAAAAACATAGCTCCTATCTAGTGTATTGAAGCTATGTCCTGTAGTTTTGATATAGTCGTTTAGCAGTTCTATACTTTTCTGTAGACATCTTGGGTTTTCTGTACACATAACCTATAAATAAAAACTTTACTTTATCCCTTCCATACTTTTTTTTTTTTTTTTTTTTTTGCGGAACCAGGGATTGAACTCAGGCCCTTGTGCTCTCCAGGGAAGCACTTACTCTACTGAGCCATCTCCCCGGCCCCCTTTCATACTTTGTGGCTTTGACTTCCTTGGAGTTTTGTCACTCTCTTCATTGGCTGAGATGCCAGACTAACCCCAGAGGACATTGCCAATATGTAGAAATAGATTTAACAAAATATATTCAGAAATCTCTGCAATGAGAACTATAGTACAAAAAGAAATTTTATTTTGTTTATTATTTTATTTTTTGTGGTACCAGGGATTGAACTCAGGACCTTGCACTTGTCAGGCTGGTGCTTATTCTACCGAGCTATCTCCCCAGCCCCAAATGGCTTGCTTGCTTGCTTTCTTTTTTCTTTTTGGTGGTACTGGGGATTGAACTCGGGACCCTACACTTGCCAGGCAGGCACTTATTCTACTGAGCTATCTCAGCCTAGAAAGAAATTTTAGAATAAGTAAGTAAATATAATAGGCCTTTGAATGGAGACTCTAGTATTGTTAAATGTAGATGGCAGTGCAACCTCAGTCCCAATTCGGGCTGATGTAAAAATGCACACCTGGGCCCAGAGGCATATGCCTGTAAATCCTGGCACGCCGGGCATCTGAGGAGAGCAGCAAGCTTAAGCCCAGCCTGGACAACTTAGTGACTTAATGAGACCCTATTTTAAAATAAAAAGGGCTGGAGATGTACCGCAGTGCAAAGACTTTTGGTTCAGTGCACAGTGCTTCACATGAAGCAACACCCCCTTCCAAAAAACAATCCGAATGTTTCAGTTGATTCTAAAATGTGCATGCATGGAAAATGAAAGTCCTAGAAATGTGCAAGCATTCATTAGACATCACATGGAAGAACCTTGAAAAATACTATGTTATGTATAGGAAACTAATCACAGAGGACGACAGATTGTACAAGTCCACGTGCAGGATTGGTGCAGGGTAGGGAAATGGGAGGCAGAAGGTGTGTGCAGGGTCACTCGGGCCTAGAGGAAGGGATGACTCCTAGTGGATAGCAGTTCCTTTCTGAGATCAGGAAAATCTCCTGAAAGGCAGTGAAAATTGTACCACTCTGAATATTCTAAAATCCACTGAACTGTATTCTAATAAAATAAAATGAATGGTTATGTATTGATTGGAAGACAAGACTTCAAGTGGTAGCAATCAAGCCACTGTGAAAACAATTGAGACAGACATCAGATGCAGTAAAACTGCAGAAATAAACCCACACACGTGAGGTCAGTTGATTCTTGGCAAAGATACCAAAGCTTTGTGTGAGGAGAAGACATTTTTGGACAGACAGTGCTGGAACAGCTGTACCTACAGTTGGCGAAACCGCCTAGATTCCTAGTGCACATCTCACTGTACTAGTCACAACCTAAGTGTAAAATCTTAAGTTGTAACTTTTAGAAAAAAACAGAAAAATGTAACTGTAGATGATGTAATTTCTTAGTACACAAAAGGCAGTAACTGTAAAACTTGCAGCTTTCATCAGAATTTTAAATGTATGCCCATCAGGAGAATTTGAAAAAAGAAGGTTATCTACATGTGGGATAAAATATTCTCAATACGAGCGTCTCACAGAGGACTTACATTCAGAACCGGAGCATGACTGGCAGTCACTGGATGTGGTGACACGTGTGTAGCCAGCGCCGTGCGAGACCGGGGCAGGAGGCCCAGCCTGGACCCAACTGCATTATGTGCGCTTTGCATATGTGAGATACATGGGAACCTCAGGAGTATGTGAAATCATGTAGAATTTTTAAAAATCAGTTAGCTCTTTCCATACCTCTTACATTTCCATTTTGAAACTAGCACCCTACCCAAAGTTTTTTTAGAAAAATATAATTATTTTCCTTAATGAGTTATTAAATATGAAGTTATAAAGGAAGATACCATTTTAAGATCTTTAATATTTCTGTTTCTTATTGCAGCTGAAGGAATAAAATTAAGAGCCTCAAAAACAGTTTCCAATGGAACAGCTAAACCTGCTACTTCTGATAATTTTGTAAGTATAGTGTGTATTTACTAGAATCTCGGTTTTGTTTTTTTTTTTTTTTTTTTTTTTTTTTTTGTGTGTGTGTGTGTGTGTGTGTGTGTGTGTGGCCAGCTCAGCCCACCAGGGGCGGGGCTGGCTGGCATGTGGTGCTGGGGGATTGAACCGCAGTCCCTGTGCTTTGCCAAGCTTGTTCCAAGTAGGTGCTTTAGACCACTGAGCCATCTCACCAGCCCCTAGAATCTCGGTCTTTAATGGTGTGGAAAGCTATAGTGTTCCGTATTTAGCACCCTCTGTGAGAGACTGAGCTCTGGAGCTGGCCCAGGCCTGCTGCAGCGGGTCTGCTTCCTACCATGACTCCGTGGGGGCTCACAGTATGGGCGGAGAGGCTTCGTGGGAGGAAGGCTTGTGCTAGCTTTCCAGCGTACTGACTGATGTTACCGCCCTTGCAGATAACATTTGTTATCTTTTGGGGGAAAGACGTGTCATCTGTATAGTCACAAAAGTCAATGGATTGAAAATGTGAATGAAAGTATAAAATAGAGGCCAGGAATGAGTTTTAAATATTTTATGCATATCACTTATGTACAGAAATGATTATGAAGTTAAAGCAAAATGGAAATGCCAATCATAAAGTTGAGTACTCTGCTCTTTTTTCTTTTTTTAATCTTTGATTTATTTATTTAATACAGAGTCTCACTACACATCTTGGACTTGTGATCCTCCTGTCTCAGCCTCCCCAGTGCTGGGGTTATAGGCATGTGCCACCATGCCTGGTTTCAGTGGCTGGTACGGTGCACCCGGGGTTCTGGGGCTGGCACAGCGTGTGGTACTGGGCATCAAATCCTGGCCCTAGCACTTGCCAGGCAGGTGCTTAGACTGCCACACTATTTGCCCAGCCCCTTCTTTGTCTTTTTGAAACAAGGCCTCACTATGCAGTTCAGGCTGGCCTTGAGCCCACTTTGTAGCCCATCCTGGTCTCAGACTTGCAACAATCCTCTTGACTTAGCCACCTATGTGCTGGGATCACAGGCCTGTGTCACCATGCCTGGCTTTCTGCTGTCTTAACAATTACCTAGACTATTAATTATGTCTTGTAAGAATTTACATGTGCTATATATAAGTTATAGCAGAACAGATAATTAAAAGCATTGTTATGTATTGAATTTAATAATTCACCAATATTTGGTTGTAATTCTTTGTGTTCTTTGATAGGTTCATGATAATTTAGCTAAACTTTTCAAAATATTGCTATCATTTTATTTATCTGATTTTAGAGCTACAGGTTGAGCATCCCTAATCCAAAAAATTTGAAATATTCCAGAATTTGAAAATTTTTGTACATTTATCTGACACCACAAGTAGATAAGGCCACACTGTGAACCTTTGTTTTATACACAAAATTAATGGGTTGGGACACAGCTCCGTGCAGCAGTGTCTGCCCAGCAAGCACAAGGACCTGAGTTCGATTCCCAGTTAAAAACAAAAACAAAAAACCCACAGAATTATTACAAATACTATTAGAATCAACTCAGGCAGTGTAAGTAAAGTATACAGGACTCATAGTGAAATTCATATTCCAACTTGGAGCTGACCCCTAAACTATCTCGTCATGCGTGTGTACATACTGGCCACAAAACTTTTGGGTGAGGGACATTCGTCCTGTGGCACACTTGCAGGTTAGGGCTGGAGATGTGGCCCGGTGGCAAAATATTTCTCCAACACATGCAGGCTGGTTCTAATCCCCAGTGCTGCTATCATAATCATTACTAATGCTTCTTGTTGTTTATTAGGTATTTTCCTCTTAGTGATATATCTCAGTTTATTTTAAAGTTCATTATCTGAAAACATCAAAGTGACTTTATTTCTCTGACTGCATTTAGCACTTAACTGACCCGAAGTTGGTTTAGAGCTTGGAGGTTCCTTACTATTAGGAGTCTCTCTGTAGATAGGCGAGTGTGATTAATGCTGGAACTGGAACATCCTGTATAGCCAGATAAACAACGAAGATAAATTTTTATTTATACTTCAAACCGAAATATTCAGTGTACTTTTTTTCTTTTCTTAATGAAGTAACTTTACAACTTTCTGTTAGGATAACAAGAATGTAGGCACCCCAGCTGACCTGCTCTTCTTCATCTCCTAAAGGGCTGTGAGCACAGAGACAGTAGATGCAAATGATAGGCTTTGATAAAGCTAGATTACAGCAGAGCCTTGGTTTAGGAACTGGGTTCCTCCCCGAGGGCTGACGTAACTTGGGCTGTGTGTTCAAGGCTCAGGCTGCAGCCTCCAGAGTCTCCCCTGCACACAGCAGACCTCAGTGTCCTCAGAGGGACATGGGGCCAGTATGTCAGGTAACCCCGTCAGGACAGGATGCTGTGATGTTCCCTCTCAGACTCTCAGGGCTAGGTCTGTATCTGGGACCATGTGGAGGCACAAGTGGCCGGCATTCAGGAAACAGCGCAAGGCTTTGGTCTAAGTTAAAGCTGAAATTCTGGTCATAAATAACCCCATTTCTGCATATGTCAGGCTGATCTTAACTCAGGGGTCCATTGTATTTTTACCATTGTCCTTTTCTCTTGAAAAGTCATAAACTCATAAGAATTTGAGCAAGTTAGGCATAATAATTTCAGAGAAAAAAAAATCAATACCAATCAATGTTCTTGTTATTTTTTGAATTATAAGCAAACTATTTAGAACAGCTTCCAAGGATAAGAAAATAACAGCTGTGCAGTTTCTACTGTGGTTTCTTGGGACAAAAGAATAATAGCTGTGCTTCCAACTGAAAGCCAGAAAGCACAGAACTCTGAAATCCATTTTTAGTGACCCCATTTATGAAAGCATGGCGTCATTTCTGTGAGACACCCTGCATGTAGCAAGTAAAAGAACGTCATACATCTACATCTAAATGTGTAAATTTGTTACTCGTTCTAATAAAAAATTCTGCTTTCAAGTGATATGAAGCAAATACTAAATATATTTATTTCCACAGGATGAAGATTTGAAGTGGGTTGAAGAAAATATTCCCTCTTCATTCACAGATGTGTAAATATCCTCTGTTACAATCTAAATTAGGGGGCAACTGTCAGGGGCAGCTCTCACACCGTCAGATGCTGTGCAGACCCCACGCCTCTGGGTGCTCCTGAAGGCCCCTCACCAGTGGGGACGCTGCACCGAAAACCAAGTGGTGACTTAGGCTCGCTCTCCTTCCTTCCCACTGTGGACTGTGTTAATACTAGCCTTGATTTATAGCCATCAGGGTCATTGTTTTAAGTTTAAATGATGGAAAAGTTCAAACATGTAAAACTTTGAAACACATACACAGAGCCATAGTACGTATTGTAGGGATGTTTTTATTTTGCTTTGTGTTTGTGTAGGGAAGCTTTTGGAGCAGCAACATGAGCATTAAAAAAGATTTGTAGGTATTTCCTCTGGGAGCTTCACATTTCTCAGGTTTCTCTTCCTGTCTTACTTGACAAGAAATCTGGGTAGCTATTTCCACATTAAGGATAGGATATGTGCTTCCCTTTTTCTGCTTCCATCTGGCTGCTGCTTGGATAGTTTCTGTCTGATACTCCTTTTACCTGAAGAATTTCCATTCCTGTGTAAAAATGCTGGAAATGAAAGTGTCAGGTTTGTCAGAAAAGGTCTTTTCTTCCCTACATTTGAAAGGTATTTTTGCTGGGGAGAGCTCAGTGGCTTGCCTGACAAGTGCAAGGTCCTGAGTTTGATCCCCGGTACCACAAAAAAAGAAAAAAAGAAAGATATTTTTTCTGGGTATAGAATTCTCAGTTAGGTTTTTGTTTTTGTTTTCAGGACTTCAGAGGTTGTCACTTAAGTGTCTTCTTACTTTCAGAATTCCAGAAAAAAGCCTGCTTTAGTTCTTTGACCCCTCTCATAAGTTATGTGGGCTTTGATTTATGTGGTTAATTGGGTGACTTGAAGATTTTTCTTTTATTTTCATCTCTGTGAATATGATGATTCTAGGGGTGTGCACACACACACGTTTGGGTTTGAACTCAGGCCCTTGCACTTGCCAGGCAGGCACTTATTCTACTGAGCCATCTCCCTGGCCCCAACATGTATGTATTTTTGTTTTTCCTGGCAATATACCTAGAAGTGAGATTGATGGATTATATAATAGCTCAGTTAGCATTTTGAGAAAATGCTAAGCTCTTTTCCAAGGCAGCTGCTTTGTTTTTATTAGTAATATGTTAGGATTCTAGTTTATGTATATTATTATTATTCTAGTTTATGTATATTCTTGCCAGCACTTGTTACTGTCCCCCATGAAGCAGTATCATGGTGCTCTGGAGCACCTGGAAAGGTATTTTTGCTGGGTAAAAATTGTAGTAACTAAAATTCATGCATATCAAGTTTGGGCAGAACAGGAACTAAGGCTGACAATGCACTATTATACTTTTTTCTTGTGACAGAAAATATGTGCACATATTCTTTTATATTTACCCATATATTAATATTTCTTCTTTCCTTTCTACACATCTGACCAAAGATCTTTCTCCTGTAGCTATTTCTTTAGTATTCCTTGTAGCATAGGTTTGCTAACAAATTCTGCTTCATTCATGTGAAGAATGTATTTATTTTATTCTCCATTTTAAAGGCTAGCTTTGCTAGATGTAGGAATCGTGACTGACTCGCCTGAGTATGTCTCGCGTATCCTTGGTGACTGTCATGTTGTAGCTGTGGACAGACTCTTCCTTCAGGCCCTTCCTCAAAGCTCTGCCATACACTGAAGCTAAATGAAGCTTCTTGGAGTATTTTCGTACTCATGCCGTCTTACCCAGAGTTCCCTTCCTGAGCACAGGTTATGTTGTTTGCCACCTCATGACCTCCAGGCAGTGGAGTAATGAAACAGGAGTTAAACAAATGCCTGATTCTGTAAATAGCATCTTCCACAGTGGTGCTTGTCCCTCTTAAACCCTCACAGAAGCATGTAATGTGGGGGGTTCCTAATTAAATGGCAAATCAGCACTCAACTACTATTCCAGCTCTTCAAAGCACAGTTCACAGGATTGAACAGTCACTGCAAGAGGAGGTCCATTGTGTTTCTGGTCGCTCATCCACAGGTTTTTAGTCATGGTTTTCCGCTAGTTGTCAGAAGTAGCAAACTTGGCGAACTTGCCACATCTAGTGCAAAGATCTGCCGTCACCGAGAGGATCTAGGATTGCTGATTGCATGCTGTGTCTGTGTCTATTTTAAAAATTCAGTCAACCTTGAACATTTTTAAACAATTTTTTGAAGTACACACATCCTAAATAAGTATACAGTTTAATAAATTATTAAAATGAATACCATAGTGTAGTCAGCACCCAGATTAAAGAGAACACTGCTAAGGGCCTAAAAGCCTCCTACTTTCCCTGTCAGATAGGGAGCCTGCCTTCCCAGAGCCCTGCTATCCTGATAGCTCTGACTGTAGAGTCTTCTGTTTTTAAAAAAATTTTATCCCTCCCTGCTCTCCAGGTTTTTTTTAGCTGTGTAGTCTTCCATTGTATAAATATAACAAAATTTATTCATTTGGTTTGTTTTCAGTTTAGATCTGTTAAGAACAGTGCTGTGTGGAAAGTCTTCTCTATATCTGATAGTGAGCCGAGGTGTTTCCTTCTGTGTACGTCCAGGAGTGAGAATTGCTGGGTCACAGAGTAGTCCTGTATTCAAGGGTTTGCAGGCCTCACGTTTAATAACATTATCACTTTTCTTCCTTTGATTTCAGAGCTCTGCCGGTGTTAGTGGATTCAGATGAGGTAAAATATTTTTCCTTATTTGTTTTGAGCTGTCACAACAAGAAAAGAAATACCAGGACCGGGGAGATAGCTCAACAGCATAAACTCCTGCCTGGCAAACGCCAGGTCCCAAATTCAATCCCCAGTACCTCAAAAAAAAAAAAGTTCTGAAAGCTATCCTTTTAAAGATTATCAGGGGCTGGTGAGATGGCTCAGTGGTCTAAAGCACCTACTTAGAACAAGCTTAGCAAAGCACAGAGACCTCGGTTCAATCCCCCAGCACCACATGCCAGCCAGCCCCGCCCCCTGGTGGGCTGAGCTGGCCAGATCACACACATAAATAAAATTAAAAAAAGAAAAAAAAAATAAAGATTATCAGTTGAGCAGATGGGTGGAAACTATGATAAAGTGGAAAGGCTTTGTGGGTAAAGTCCGGGTTTCGTACAGAAGCAAGATAAATGCTTGCTGGTGTGAAAGAGGATTATTTATGAGATTTTTAGTGATTTTTCTTAAGAATTTGGTATATAGGTAAGAGTTTAGATTTTAAGACAGCAATTTTTGGGGGTAGCAAGCTGGGAATCGAACTCAGGATCTCACATTTGTCAGGCAGGTGCTGTGCCACTGAGCTGATCCCCCAGCCCCAAGACAGCAGTTTAATATCTGATACTTGCAGGTGTTTATTGGGGTGTTTTGTCTCACTTTCATAGTATGCACAGTATGATGATAGGGGCTTGAGAGATTGAAGAAATAAACAGCAGTGCATCAGGTGAACATTGAAGGTAGCTCGAGGCAGGAGGAAGCCCGGCATGTTGAAGGCTGAGCGTGCAGGCCCTCACTGGCACAGAGGCAGAGGGGAGAGGAAGTGCTGGAGGCCGCAGAGCCTGAGTGGCCGGAGCCGCACGCAGGCAGGTGGGGTGTGAGTGGCAGCCGGAGCCGATGGGACTGTCGCAGGCTGGGAAGGTTTGAGGTGGCTTGCTATTGGACGGTATGCTGAAGGCTTTAGAGCTACCAACAGCTGTGCCATCAAACTGCCTTTAGGAGCATTTAAATTCATCTGATGAATAATTGGCTTATGATTGCAAAAACACATGAATTGAGATGAATTCCTGGATAACTGCACCTAAGAGAGCTGTCCTGGCCCTTCCCTACCTTGTGCTGGAGAAGCTTGGGGCTCCAGAAACAGTGTCAACGTTTTTTTTTTTCCTTGTAGGAAATTATGACCAGATCTGAACTGGCTGAAAAAATGTTCTCTTCAGAGAAGATAATGTGACTGGAGCCCGCGTCGGTGAAGCCGAGTCACGGCAAAGGACTCGTCCCTCAGGCCTGAGAAAGCTTTGTGTGTGGCAGCGCAGCGAGCTCGTCCTGTGCCATCTGGGAGGCGCACATCCACGATGCAGGACTCGGCGGCGGGAGGCCGTGTGCCGCGCCTGGTGCCGGCGGGACGCCCATTGAGCCACCTGGACTTGGAGGGATCCGGGAAGAGTAGCAGCACCGTGGAGAGGCGTGCACGCGCCTCTCAGCGGCGGTGTAGGCTGGTGCCCTGGCTTCCAGCTCTTTTCTCTGGAAAACATGACAATTCCAGGTTTTTAAAAGTTTATATAAACAGGCCTGCTGTACTTTGCACTCAGCTCTGAGGGGTGGGGGGTGCGAGTCTGCTGAGGTGGTGGAGTGTGTCGGTGTCTCCATCTTTGGGATTCACAGATACGGGTGCGAAGGTCGTTTCCTTTTTCTTTCACACCGAGGGCACTTCACCTTGGCGCCTGGGCCTGTGTGTGTGTCTCATTTGCCCTCGTCGGAGGTCTGCACAGTGCACTTGTCTAGAAGTACTGCTGTGCACGTGGGTCCACGAGAGAAGGCCTGAGGGTCACTGCTAGAGGCCTGCTCTGGCCCATCCCACCGTCTGGCACGGGCGCGGCCACACGTCCAGCGACCTGGCTCCCCGCGAAGCCCCCTCAGCCAGGCAGGCCCCCCCGCTCCTGTGAGCCCTGCGGAAGCCGGAACTGTCATTTGCATCACCGTGGTATTTTCTTTTTCATAATAAAGACATATTTAACTAGGCAGTACATCAGGTTAACTTGTAATTTAGCAACTTTCAACCATGCTTTACACCTTATTTTGTTATATTATTGGGTAATGTGTGATTTGAAATTTTTTGTTTTAGTATCTTTTTAAAAAATACAGACTGTCCTAAACTTGAAAGGCAATTGAATGTAATATAAAAATGTGAACGTTTTGCTGCTTTCATGACCAAAGATGCAGGGCTAGTGCAGAAGAGGAGGGGCCGGTGGAACCTTCGTCTTGCTCTAAAGGAGCGCTTTCTTCATGGGTTGAGAGTGACCTCAGAATTTCTCTTGAGAAACATGAAAGTCATCTGCCAGACAGACACTTAAAACATAATTTTTTCACTGTGAATCCATAAAAACTAATTTTTTAATTTGTTTCTGAAGCCTACTTTTTTTGGGTACTTCTTTATACATGTTAAAGAAATTAGTAAAGATTTATTTCTATTCGTAGTGTCTCTTGAAAGATATTTGCAAATGTGTTTTCAATAGTGAACATCTGGCAGGGGAATGGTGCTGGCAGATGTTCTGGAGAAGGGCCTGGTTCTCCAGATGCCGTTGCCTGGGCTGGCCTTCCTGGGAGAAGGAGGGCTCAGAACAGCGTGGGTTCCATTCTTGAGTTCGGTTCCTGCCCGCCCACTCGGGCCCAGCTGAATGTCTGCGTTGGTTTGCACGTTGTCTGCCTTTAGCCTGGTTGGTTCGGACCAGATCAGACGAGGTGCCCGTCTAATCCTCCGGCCCTGGAGTCTGGGCACTTCGATCCCCGGCTCACCACACAGCTCAAGTTGAAATGTGCAGTGTGGAGGCCTGGGCTTGCGGCCACAGAGGGGCTAGGGCTTGGCGGGGCGGGGATGGGAGTTGGCTGTGAGGGCGATGCTACGGAAGCTGCCTCTGACACAGCCTCAGCCGTGGTTGCAGAGACTTGTTTCAGCCCCTGGCAAGACAAATGGTGTTGGTTGTGTGGGGTAGCTGCCCGCCAGAGTGCCACCTTTCTCCTTCCAAAGAAGCATCTCCTAGTCACCTCAGAAATGTTTGTAGAAGGGCATGTGCTCGCCTTGCTTTTGCGTCATCTGCTGATGCTTGAGGACCTGAGCTGAGGGTTCCTCTGGGCCCTTCTTAACCCCACATGTGCACAGGAGCGAGCACCAGTGCCGCGCCCGCGTGCCGCTGCCCAGCTCCTCCTGCCAGCCTCGGCCAGGCGTGGGGCTCCAGGGCTGCCCCCTTAGTCTTCCAGGGGCTCGTGGCTGCTCACCAGGGTGGGTCTCCCTGACGGTACGGGTTCAGCAAAACCTGTTTGGGGGGAAATGCTTACAAGTTCCTGCCATCCAGTCCATGTTAGTTTTGTGCAACATGTGAAATTTAAGAGGAAATTTTCATGACTTGGTTTAGATTAGTAAATATTTTCTTGGAAGCATAGTCAATTTATTTCAAAATTAAGGAAAAATAGGTGAATTATTTAAGCCTCCGAGATGTTAAGATATTCTCATACTTTTCCTGTAAAGAAAATAATTTTATCTTTCATATATTATAGAATACCAACCTTCTGTATTACAATACATGTTTGTACTCCTATAATGTCAATACTGGAAGTATTAAAAATTATATATAATGTTGATCTTTATACTCTCTCTTTGAAAGAGGTTTGGGTCCATCTCACTAGCTCTGCACTAAGGCGGAGAGATGTTCCACCAGGTTTATGCATCTGGTTCTGGTACTTGGGTCTTTATAGGGTCAGCAGCACGCAGGAAGCATACAGAACCCCAGGCCTTATCCTCCTAAGACATGGTTGGCGCCATGAGCATACCAAATGGATATATGCCAGAAGTAGAATTTGAAGATGTGCATATTATAGCGTAGGAAGTCAGTACTGTGTTAGAAGCTTCTTTAGAACTAGGAAAACATTTATTTGGGGAGAAAGTTTAGTGACTTAAAAAGTTGTATATTTTTATTTAAAAAGGCTAAATTATTCTATAATTTAGAGGTTCCTTTGAATGAAGGATTTTTTTTGAAAAATTGATGTATTTTTGTGCCTTAATATCTGTTTTACTTGTAATAAAATGCTTTGTGAAATTTTGGATCATTGGTTCTTGATGAATCGATTAATGCTAGGTTATGAAAAGGTGTAAGAAATACTCCAATAAATAGGAGTTTGTGAAATTCTTCAAAGAGTAGGCATGGTTACTTGAAGAGAGTGTTTAACGTAAGTATTAATAAGGGAAATTTTAAAACACCAAATTAACCTGAATTTGCTACTGTATATGTTTGTAGAATCCCTTTGCTATCAAAGTCTGATTGAATGAGCATGTTCATTAATGATGGTAATATAATTTCCTCAGTCTTTGTGAAAGGAAGTTCAACAACGAATGTAATCTCTGAATAATGTCATTTTTGGTGATGTTTTAAAAGATAACAAAATGCAGAATAAGGTTTCTACACAAAAATGTTTATTATAACATTACTAGTAAAGTTAGAGATAAACTGTAAAGGGTAGAATAATGAGTAACAGTTTAACCACCCTATGGAATATTATGCAGTCATTAAATTATGAAGAATTTATGTTTATATTTCATGTAATTATATATCTTTAAGAACTTATAATAGAGAAATATGTATAAGAAGGATTCAAAGGCATTTATATACCTAGATGAATGGGCTGGGGAGATAGCAGTGGAAGCAAGCACCTGCCTGGCAAGTGCAAGGACCTGGGTTCAATCCCCAGTACTGCATGTTGTGCTGGCTCTGGAACCCTGAGTGCACTGCGCTGGCCACCAAAACCAGGAGTGGTAGCATACATCTGTAATCCCAGCGCTGGGGAGGCTGAGACAAGAGGATCACTAGCTGTCCAAGCTGCATACCGAGACCCTGTACCCCAAATAAATAGATGAATCATTTAAATACATTAGACTGATAGATACAGAAATCTATCTACCTATATATATGAAAATAAAATAGAGAACAGATAGATGGCATTGTACCCAGAGGCACTCCCAGTGAGTGGTATTGAGGTTCCACCACAAGGTGGTCACAGCTTGCTCCCACACTTTCATGAAGGTAGACCAGAAGACTTCGCGGTGGAGGATTCCTGGGGAGGATGTGGAGGCTGAGTGGCCGCCTCCACGTGGGTGCCAAGGTTTATTTCCATCCTGTAGCCCTGCTGTCTTCTGCCAGCTGGAAGAAGGGGAAGGACAACCTGAAATGTTCGGGGAGTTGGGCCTGGAAGTGGCAGGCACAAACATGGTTCCCTGGCAGAACCGAGTCATCTGGCCACATCAGACCACCCGGGGCGCCAAGAGGTGGTGGTGGCAAGCACTTGCCTACTGGCCTCGCTCTGAGAGGAGAATGTAGGAGCAAAGCAAAGACTATGGTAATAACCGATGACACTTGAGGGAGTCTCGAGGTTCCTGCAGAGCCCAAGATTTGTTAACAGTTGTATTTGCTCAGTAGCCAATGAGAGAGGTACTGTTATTTTCCAAAAAACCTAAGAATCAGTTTAAATAACTTGCCAGAGGTGCCCTGCGGGCAGAGGAATAAGACTGCTGGTCAGTGGCAGAATCGTCCTTGGAGCCCTTGGAGTCCTAGGGAGAGTCGTTTCACTGGACGGGATATGAGTTCTGATAATCTAAAGCACCTGGCGCGCAGATGGTCCTAAAGCAGCAAAGGTTCACGGGAGATCCCGCAGCGATTGTCAGGTGTGGCTGAGACCAACTCCAGATAATTCGGACATACAAAAGTGACTTCTTCCTGTTAAAAGGAAGTTGCACTGGGGACATTCGTCTTAGAGTGACTGGATTTACAGCCAGATTCCAAGGAACATCAGCTGGCCTGGTTTTGAATTCAGATGTCAATCATTTTCACAATACTTTTAACGGTTTGTTTTGGAGAATAAGAATCTGCAATGAAAGTTTATGTGCAAGAAAAGGTTCAGAACTCACCCAGCAGGTGGTGTCAAAGTAATGTCTTTGAAGAGTTCTGATGGAAAAACGTCAACCCCAATTCTTGCCTTTAAAAATTGTATGCTTTTACTTAGCAGCAGCTGCCTTCAGAAAAATTTAAGGATTAAAAGACCTTAAAAATGTTAAATATGGGCTAGGGAGATACCTCCGTGGCATAAGCACCCGCCTGGCAAGCACAAGGTCCTGAGTTCGATCCCCAGTATTGCCAAAAAACCTGAAAAAAAGTTAAATATTATAACTTCAAAGACATTTAAAATGTAAGTACTCGGGGTGTAGCATGGTGGTAGATCACTTGCCTAGCATGCACAAGTCTCTGGTTTCAATCCCTACCGTAAAAAAGAAAATTTTTTTTAAAACTTCCATGAGAAGGTTGGACTGCATATGAGATTTAGGATATACTTTGCTTCGGTTACCGCATGTCACATTTTTTCACATGACTACTGCCTTTCCTGTTAGCCTCCAAATTTTGCCCTTGTTTTGCTTTTTGGATTTTTTGACACATTTTACTATGTAGTTCACATAAATCAAAATTCTGCTTCTCTGTTTTTCAGTTTGATAAAGGAAGAGTTCTTTGGGGTCTAGCAGAGTCCAGAGTTATCAGCAGTGTCTTTTTTCAGCCCTATTGAAAATACTGAAAATAAAGTATACAATTCCATAATCTTTATGGTACTGGGGCTGAGCTCAGGGCCTTGTGCATCGTAGGCTACCACTGAACTACATCTCCAGCTCACCTTTTTTTAAAAGAGAAAGTTTGGACATCAATGTATCTCTGTTCAAATAATTACTCTAGATAATTATATGAAAAAGAATGAGCCGAGTGTGGTGGTGCACACCTATAATCCCAGAACTCAGGAGGCTGAGGCAAGAGAATTGCTGTGAGTTCAAGGTCAGCCTGGGCTGGGGCTACTTAGTGAGTGCAGGACCAGCCTAAACTGCACAGTGAGATCCTGTCTCAGAAAAAAAAAACAAAAACAAAAACACACAACAAAGGACAGTGAACAAGTGGTCTTTTCACTAGCTATAAATTCACTTTTTTTTTTTTTTTTTTCTATAACCGGGGATTGAACTCTGGCCCTTGTGCTTGCCAGGGAAGTGCTTATTCTACTGAGCCATCTCCCCGGCCTATAAATTTGCTCTTGAAGTAATATATTTATTTATTTATTTATTATTATTTTTTTTAATTTTATTTATTTATGTGTGTGTGGCCTGCTCAGCCCACCAGGGGGCGGGGCTGGCTGGCATGTGGTGCTGGGGGATTGAACCGCGGTCCCTGTGCTTTGCCAAGCTTGTTCTAAGTAGGCGCTTTAGACCACTGAGCCATCTCACCAGCCCAATATATTTATTTTTATAAAATCCAGTTAGAGATTTCAAGTTCTAAAAATGTACATTCTTAAAGCGCCTGCTTAGGCAGACGCAGTGGCTGGGGTTTGATCCCAACATGCTGTGCTGGCCCTGCCCCTAGACTGCGATTGAGACTGGGTGTGGTGGTGTGCACCTGTAATCCCCGTTCTTGGGAGGCTGAACACAGGCAGGTCACTACGAGTCCAATCTACGTAGTGACATCCTATAGCCCCTGTACTAAAATACAAAAAATAAATAAAAATAAAAATATACTTTCTGTTGGACTAACCTTTCCCACAGATGACAGCTGGACGAGTTAGAGTAACAACGGCCTGAAGATGTTGGAAGAAGACAAAACGCTGGAGGTCTGGAGGGAACTCAGTGCTTGGTAAAGGAAACTGCATGGGTAACTCCCCACTGCTGTGGCCTTTCTTGGGTCAAGTAGGGAGATTAAACACAGACGTGAAACTTGTACTTTCTAATATGAAGAATTAGAGAAGAGAGATCCGAAGAGGCACAGTGACTAAAAAATAAAAAAGGAATTCCTGAAGAGCGATATAGCCTCCACGCTAGCCATCCTCCCAGAGCCATACATTAAAGCCCCTACCCCCAAGTGATGGTATTATGTAGTTGCAACTTTGGAGGATGGTAAGATCACAAAGGGGGAGCCCGGGTACATGAAGTTAGTGCCCTTCTAAAAGAGAACCCCCTCAACTTGTCCACTTACTTTGCCATGTAAGAACTTAGCAAGAAAATTGCCTATGACTGAAAAACAGTCCTTACCAAAACCTGAACCTGCACCCAGAACTGTGACCAAGGAATATTTGTTGCTTAAGGCATCTAGTCTGTGGTATTTTAGTTGGAGCACCCCAAGAGACTAAAACAGCTGGAGATGGTAAGCACCAGATTCTGGGCGCAAATTCCCCAGGCTGCTGGCTCCCCTGAAGTCTTCATGTGCGTGGCAAGCCCCAAATCCCTCTCAGGCTGGAGTGGAACTGAGAGTCCTCCTCACACCCACGTGAGACACAATTGGGAGACGCTCCAAACCACATGAATTGCCTGTCTGACAAGAGCAAGAACTGGTGACTTCAGAGAAAACGGCAGAATAAGGACCTCCAAAGTTCTGTACTTGCACAGTGAACACTTTCAGAATCAGCTTTCTCGAAACTTTGGAAATCAGCCAGTCTCATAGCAACCCAAAGAGCGTTTATCCAAGAAACATGGCGGAGTCTCAGAAGAGCAAAGGTTGTGTTAGCCTGTCCCGGTTCCCTGGGACTGGAAAGAACAGAAAGGGGTTAGAGGTTTTTCAAAGCTTCCTTCATTCCCAAATAATTATTTATAATTGAGTATCTATTTTCCAAAATGCTTAGAACCAAGAGTGGTTCACATGTGGAAGTTTTTTCAGATGTTAGAACACTTGCAATATACATAATGAGATACAGTGGGGATAGGACTCTAACCACAAAATTCATTAATGTCTCATAGGTCTTATCGCCTAGAGGCAATTTTATATAATTTTTTAGTACATCTACATTTACTTTATTTTATTTTTTTATTTTTGGCAGAACTGGGGATTGAACTCAGGCCTTTGCGCTTGCCAGGCAAGCGCTTATTCCACTGAGCCATCTCCCCAGCCTCTAGTGCATCTACATTTTGACAGCAACCTGTCACATGACGTCAAGTGTGGTGTTTTCTACCCATGATGTCACATTGCCACTCAAAAAGTTCCAGATTTGGGAGCATTGTGAATTTCATATTTGGGGATTAGGAATGCTTAAT